AATAATTAAAATTATTATCATTGTTGATTTAAATTATTATCAAGCTTTGTTTAGTTAATGTTAGTCACCTAACCGTTGGCGTAATACTTGAAGAGTTTTGCTACTTGTAAAATCAATTTGATAGATATTTTGACAGATGAAAAAAAAATAGAAAAAAAAATTTCTAATTGTTTTATGAGGAATTTTCAAGAATGTCCAAATTTAGGTGTGTGAGTTGAAAAGTGTCCTATTTTAATAATTCTTGCAAAAATGTCCAAATTTAATATCAAATTGTTTACTTTACCCTCATGAAAAGATTAATCAATTTTATATCAATTTGCCACAATTTTCGAGAAAAGCCAATAGCTTCCATGAAAAGCCACATTATTGTTGTTATTAACTAGGAGACTCCACGTACCTACATTTTTAATTAGATGTTAATCAATTATTCTAGAACAAATGAAGAAAAAGTAGAACTTCTATTAACACGTACGAAGAAGTATATGATTCAAACTCCAAATAAATCATTTTATTTCATTTGGAGAAATCTACTGTCGTCAAAATTTGAAGTTGATTATGCTCTCATCATTTCTCGATCGAATGTATATTTCTTCGAACTCTCATTTTTTTGATAAGTTGTATTTAATACTTGTTGTTATATATGTTCAAATCTCATTTTTTTAATAAGATATGTTTTCATCTCAATGGATTAAATTATCCAAACAAGGAGTAGATATTTGTTATATACCATTCATATTAAATAACTTAGTTAGATAATAACTTCTGCATTTAAAATATCATTAATGGTGGAATAAATTTTTTTGCAAAAACTGTGGTTGAAGTTGGAGAAGATGATAAATGCGTGGAATCTCGTCATTTCATTCTCGACATTTTAGAAATGTCGATAACGATAGTATAAATATCGTTCTTGACATTCACAAATATCGAGAATGGTATTTATACTATCATTTTTGACACTGTCAAATGTCAACAATAACATAAAAAACTTGACGAAGTTGGAGAAATTTTGTGTATATGCAGGTAGCATCTTCATTTTCAGTTTTCGTTGATGGCTGACATTATTTTTGCTTATGACATGAAGATATGGGAGATGTTAAGAGATTTGTTGTCTCGTATGGTAGTAGATTCATCAACATGGACGACGGGTAGAAGTTGTTAGGGAACCGAACAACATCAATTATTGCTCGACGTGATATTACATATGAAGAGTTTGTACATAAATTATTCGAGAAGCTGAATGTTGACAGAATGAAGTTTCAAATTCAATTGAAATTTACAATTCCAAACATGAATATATCCCCTGCTGATGTAGTCGACGATGAGAATTTACAATAGTATATGTCTGTTCATAGAGACGCAGCATTGTGTGTAATTGCAGACGAATATGATGCTGGAGAGCACGAACCACATGTCGGTGTTGAGCCTTTCTCACCAATAAAAGATGCATTGTGTGGACACGATGAAATCGGTATATGCGAACTACAAGAGCCACAAACGATTGATAATACGAATGAAGGTTTAGGTGAAGGGAATTTGTATATTCGAAATGCAATTCTGTCGATTAATGAAGAGGACATTGTGGAGAATCAGATATTCTTTAGCAAGCAACAGTTATACACAAGGTTTCAATTTAAGGCCTTGAAAGAGAAGTTTCATTTCAAAGTTAAAAAGTCGAATCTTAAATCTCTTATTGTGTGCTATGTCGACACTACATGCCATTGGCTAGTGCAAGCTTCGAAGATAAAAACTTCTGAATTTTTTATTATTCGAGAGTACATACTTGAGCACACATGTTCTCTAGACATTCAACGAAATGCACAAATTCATGCAACGAGTGCACTAATTGGGCATCACATAATACGAGGGTTGGACGAAGCAAACCAACCATACGTTCCTGTAGGTATTATCGGGATATGGAACATAAGTTTGGTGTGCGGATTACACAACAAAAAGTTGGGAGGTAAAGAGAAGGGACTTCGATTTCTTCATGGTACACCTGAAGAAAGTTTTCAGAAATTGTCATCATATTATCACATGTTAGCCGAGAAAAATGTAGGAACCATTGCACACATTGAACTCGACTCCAATAATACGTTCTTGTACTTCTTCTTAGCGTTCAGGCCAAGTGTACGTGATTTTCGAGAGCACATGAGGTTAGTAATTTGTGTTGATGGAAGTCATTTGAAGGGCCAGTATAAGGGAACATTACTAGTAGCTGCAGCGCAAGTGCTAACCTGCAAATATATCCTCTTGCTTGGGTGTCGTCGATGGGAAAACAAATGCATCGTGGTATTGGTTCTTTACGAATTTGAAAGATGTCGTTGATGACTCAAACCAACTAGTGTTTGTCTCAGACGGGAATAAGAGTATTAAGCGGGTAATTACGAGGTTGTTCCCGCTTTCTCACCAAGGTGCTTACATCTGGCATATCGAGAAAAATCTTATTGCTAGGTATAGTAGTAGCAATATCATATTCTTGATCGAGCGTGCAGCTCTAGCATACGGCTTATTGGAATTTGATCAGTTCATGACACATATAAAAACCATTCGACTATCAATAGCATCTTACTTGGAACGTGCCGGTATATCCACCTAGTCACGGGCAACTTTTGTTGGTAATCGGTACAACGTTATGACGAATAACATTGCGGAGTCACTAAATTCAGTTCTAAGGCAACAAGAAAGTTTCCCTATAACCTCGTTGGTCGAAAATATTACGTCATTGATGCAACGATGGTTCTACGAGAGAAGAAGCGCATCCACCAAATTTAGTACGACCGTTATACCAAAAATTGATGATGAATTGAGAAAATCGTTTGACGTTGGTGCAACCTTACAAATACGAAATTTGGACGAACTCGTTTTTGAGGTAGGTGTAGCTACCGAACTCTGTATTGTCGACCTTATAGGTAACACATGTTTATGTCGAGAGTTTCAAATACGACAAATCCCATGTTCACATGCAACCTAAGTTGTTTGCGCAAAAGGAAAATCACTGTACGGCCTATGCTCCCCTTACTACACCACAAAATGTTGGCGAGCTGCGTCCAACGAAGTTCTTAACCCCGTTGGCCGATAGTCAGATTGGGTTGTTCCTCAGTCCATTCGTTTCATAGAAATTCTGCCCCCAAATATACGTAGAGAACCAGGTTGAACTCCAACACAATGTCAGCAGTCAAGAACTGAAAGATCGACTTTGACACGAAAATGTAGCCAATGTGGGGGTTCTGGACATAACAGGAAAACATGTAGGAATCTAACACTTTTAAGTGACACGCACAATTGAATGACATTGTGTATTTCGATCGTTAAATGCTCTGATAAAATGGATTACCAATGTTTTGAATATATTTTTGTGCATTACTTGCTTTCTATCTTAGTTGATGAAGACATGTTTTGGATATATTTTTGACTTTTACTTTTTCCTGTTTCTTTCTTCGTTCTCTCTTCATAGCACTTATTTGTAATTGCTTATTCTAAATTTAAGCTCGTAATAGATTCTCAATCCTTTATACATATTCATCTTTTTTTCTGATTTTTCTCTTATATTACCCTTGTCGTTCAAAATTTCATAGCGCACGAACAAGAAAATTCGTATGGGCATTTCACCAAATACAAACAAGAAAACCCAAGTAATGTAAATAGCTAAAAACAAGGGAATTGGTGATCACATATATTCTTATGAGCATTTCATTATCATATCATTTTGTCTATCATATAAGTAAACAATCTTATATCTAATTCGTTATTGAGATTTCCCTAATCATTGTAAACACAATGTGGTAATGAATACAAAAGCAAGTCATGAATGACTCATTCTCCTAATCACTGGAGCAAACGAAATGGTAATCACAACAAAAGGAAGTCATAACTCCAATGCATGTCGTAGACAACTACTATACAAAATGATGATCACCCTAAAAAATATCCATCACCTATATGGATTTTATTGCACTAGTATATGTACTTAAATATTTCACTTACGAAGATCACATCTTCTACATATCCTCCACCACGAACAAAGAGGACATATCACTATCATACTCCTCGTTGGAGCTTATGATGATCACATCTTCATTTTCAACGGGAATAGCTCCGACATTGTCATCCAACAATACATGATGTGCTTCCGGTTGGATCTCACGATGAACTTGAATTGGCTCAATTTCGTCTATTAGATTCTAAAAATGAATGGATTTAAGGTAAACCCTACAATGACGGTTCGAAGGTTTATGAACATATAGAACGAAGGCATTGCTTTCGTCATCCGAGTCCGAGTCTATGATGATCGGGTTGTCTGCAGACGAGCTGGGGAGGTTGAAGGCGATAGTAACATCAATATGAGGAGTACGCTCAGTTGATGAAGACATAATCGATGGAAGAACTAGGTAGTGCTAAAAATTTGTTGAAATAGCCGTGTGTGCATATTGAAACAAAGTTGTGTCTTTTATAGTGGAGGTTGACTTGTCTGTTGAATGCATGAAAGATGTCTCATCAACCCATTTGTTTCTTTCTACCATGTCATTATATATTTATTGTTGTTTCACATCATTATAGTTGAGAATGTAATTGTGCTTGGCACACCAATATTAATAACGTCTGAGTTGCTATAGTAATTATAACTTTTGTAGTAAATAGTCCAATTTGTTCAGTCGTATATTGGTTGCAATTAACTGTTCATTAAAATTGGTTGGATTGCCTTTATCTAGACATTTGATGTCGTTCTCAACATTTGGAACGTCGTTCTCAACATTAAACTGTTGTTAATCTCAACACTTGACATTACAGTTGTCTAGAAGGACACTTAGACAAAAACAGGAGATATCTCTATATTTCAACGATTTCCTGACATTTTATATGTAGTTCTCGACATTAAATAGCTGTGAAGCTCAAAATTTCACATAAACCACTAAATTCGAATCAACCCATGTTCATATTGCATACCACCATATATACCAAAAAAATGCAAACCACTAAATTCGAATCAACCTAAAGCTTGATATTTCATATTGCAAGTGTACCAAAATACATTACCAAATGCCACCATATAAACCACAATACATATTGCATACCAAAACAATCAAATCAAAATATATAAACCAATAAATTTGAATTAAAATAAAGTTCATATCCAATCACCATTATCTATCGTCAACCAAAATACACAAACTACGCATTCTTCTTACCCTTCTTACGACCCGATCGAGTGAACGATGTCTTTGTATTTCGCATTAGCCTTCTTCAGCCTCAATGATCGAGGTCTGCGTGTAGGTGGACCAGCAATGGACGCATCAGCTGTAGGTACAATGATCGGTGCCTCCTCCACAATATCACAAACGAGGTAAACTGACCCAAGAATTCCAACCCCACCTCCCAATGTTATGGACACATCAGGGATATTGCAAATAACTGGTTCGATAGCCTCCGACATCCTTTCTATCCACAAAAATATTGGGAGTAAAAACATCACGTCGAGACTCATCTCCACCGCGATTGTCATGACCAAATTTACCATACTCATCAGCAACATTGTGTTGCCCAATTTCTGTAGCAACTTCATCAAACCTTCGTCGGAGCACATTTATCTCATCAGTGACATGATTTCTCAAACCACACACATGACCTCCCAGATCATTTTGGAGACTAGTGAATCTTGTGTTCATCTCCTCCCTCAAATCACCCATCTTGTTCTCAAATGTCTCCCGTTGTTCGTTCAAAAGAGCTCTTATCTCATCTAAAGACACAAGCCTTTCGATGATCGGATCCCCATGCTCTTCTTCTCTGCCTTCAACGTGAAGCAAACCTCGATGACGAGGTCCACCTTTGTTGCTTCTCTGGGATTTATTTGGTCGATGGTTGTTGTCATCGTTCCGCATAACATCATCTACAACTGGACAAGCTTGTATTTCTATTGATTGAGCAACAAGACCATATAGAACGAGGTCAGCTGCGTCTTCCAACGAAACTAGATCGACGAAGTACGGCTGTAATTCTTCTACAGTAATTGCGTGCAGCGTTACCCACAAGTACACTTACAGGGGAAGGAAAAATAGGCAAAATAAAATATTATATATTGTGAAAGTATAAGACAATTATGTATGTAAATCGCTTACATCTGTCTTCTCAAAAAAATCTGAATATGTTCGAGAATGGGGTTGTTTCATGCCAGACCATCGCAACATCATCGGGACATCGTCACAAGTTTTACTCGAGAATCGAGCTCCCAACTCTGGGATTGCCTCGTACGCCCAAATTTGCATGACATTTATAACAGTAATAACCATATTTGGAGATAACTGACACAATGTATGATGAAAAGAACTTAAATGAACCAAAATAGATATATACCTGGACAGCAAAAGGAAATCCGTATGTGTAAGTCATTCTATCACAATCATTCACTTTTACCATGTCCGCCTTTCTTCCCTATTCACGTAGCAGTGATTTGAGAAGAAATTGAAAACATACCGTCCTCCATGGGCAGACATTGAAGAAATCCAAGTCGTCAACGATGGAGAGAGTTGTCGGATGTATTCCTACATTTCGGTCTCTTGAATTAAATACCCCTTCAATAATTAGTGCCAAACCAAGGTTGTAACAATCGTTACAGTTGGCATATTTCAAGAAAACTTTCTCTAGGTCGCTACAAGTTATCCGATCCATATTAGCAAATATTTTGTCTTGTAGACGGGTTTTCTCTAGGATTTTCTCAACTTCAGTACCTTTAGGCATTGGAAAGCACTTCAGGCCGATGATTAATGCGAACTCCGGCAGTCCAAATCGTGCACACTTTTGGTTCACCTTAAACCAAGCCTCAAACCGCTTTCGACAGCCCACCAATCTGTTTACTATTTCATGAATTAATTGAGCAGATAGTTTCAGCTCCTCTAACCTTGCAACATGTTATATACAACTCTCCTCCAACTGACACTTTTGTTGTGGATCCAATTTGTTGAGGACAACTGCTATGTATTTTGTGTTGCTCACCTATGACACATGAGCCGGAACACCTTCTTTCTTCATAATTTTATATCGGTATGTCATACTCATCTACAAATCAAAAGAAATGAAAACAACATGTACATCAGTGATTTCATGAAAAAGAGAGATGAACAAAATGCTTTTTAACTTTCCACTCTAAGGCTTCAATAAATACGTGCTACTACCTACTTGATGCTTCAATTTATTCAAATCAAACAATTGGAATTCAAATTTAAGAAAAAAGAACACTATATATTTGAAGAAAATACTTTAAACTTTCATTTTAATGGTACTTGGTGCCTAGGCATAATAATATGTACGCCTCATGAATCCTAATGCATAATGCAATTGCCAAAAAGGAGAAAAAAAGTAAATAACAATTGACCATCAGCTAATTTACCTGCAACAACTTTAATTAGTTCAAACGCGTTCAAGTTTGGAAGTAGATTGAACACATCCTACAGAATTAAGGAGACATATCAAAATAAGTTAGGAAATAATAAGTAATTATGTGATATCCAAAGTAAAGAAGGGCAACAAGTAAAAAGTTACAACGTGGTAAACTTCAACATTTATACTAAAATTTGAAAAGTGCAGTACAAAAAAGCCTCATTGGACTCCAATAAGAGGATTTTAGGTATTCTATTTTACATTCTCGACTTGCTAATGGGGATTTCTAAATCTAAATTATTTACAAATTCATATTCCAGAGTTATCAAGTTGCAATAGGATGAAAATTTCCAATCTGAAGGGGGCTTTTTTAAGTCTTGAAACAAGATGGTCAATCCTAGGCCTATAAGCACATTTGAACAAAGTTTAAAGTTAACCATTATGTATTCACATCAAGAAAGCTACAAGTGCATTCAAACACAGATCAAACTCATAGTCTAGATTTAACAAAAGAAAAGGCTAAAATTTACAAAGAGGGCTGACTGAAAAGAGACAATAACTGACCATATGCAATTAATTAAAGTTGGCATATCCAGAAAATAAACAATCCCTTCACAAAACTAAGATGCAATGGTATAATAATAGATTGTACTAACAAACATCAAAACAGGGACAAATGTACAATTCTAAAACTAACCATTCAGTGAAAAAATTCTCATATCCAGAAATTCAAGATATTTATAGCCCATACGAACAAAATAAAATAAATTAATGGCTATTGAAAACAAGAAATTCAAAAAATAGACCACCATCATGTCCAATCTTCAATCCATACTCAAAACCATAAGATCAACACCGAAAAATGTTTCCTCGCGCACAACCATGAATAATTTCCTCATTTTCAACATAGGATACATGAGTATAGTCAGAGGCAGTGCCAAGATTCTTAAATTTTGGAGGCAAATGTAGTGATAATTAAAGCTATAAAAAAGTTATTGACACTACCATGCTCATTAAAAAAGGTACAGTAAAACAACATTAATTATCATATCAAACAACATGGTGTAGTTTATCATAAACTTCATCACAAGTCTTAAAAAAAAAATTTATAACAAAAAAATTGATACTATTACGATAACATTTAGTCCTTCATAGCTCACTTACTTCAGTAATTGGGTACCAAAAAACGAATCATTAACAGTTCAGGAAACAAGAAGCTAATACAAAGCAATGGTTAAAAGTAGCAAACATTTTTCAGCTGAATATATAACAAAATAGAACCAACTTTTCAAATCAATTAATAACATATTCAAAGGAAAAAATCTTTGTAAAACTGTAAAAAAAGGATGTACTACTGAGAATCACGAAGGGGGTGATTGTGCTCTCACGATTCTTCGTAATCAAAATACTAAAAGACGATAGAATATGACTAAAAAAGCACAAGCAATTCAAATGTTCAAGAATCCAAACCTCAGGAAATGGAAGATAGGTTTGGGTTCGTGTCGTGGATTTGAGGAGAAATTTGATTTTTTTTTAATTCGTCTTTAAACAAAGTAGGTCGGGTCAGTCTGGGTGATTTTTACTAGACGTGGGTGTGGGTTGGGTTGGGTCGATTTTTGTCCCAACCCTAACCCAAACTAACCCGTGTAAATATTAAAACCCAACCCAACTCAAATCCAATCAAAGGTTGGTTGGGTTGGGTTGGGTTGAGTTGGTCAATTTGGGCAAAGTATAATTTAGTATCATATATTCAAACAAGACCAACAAGTAATTGAAATAGGATTAATATTTAATACATAGTACAACCATCCAAATAAAAAATTCACCCAAATATAATTAATACAGCCATCCATTGTCAAAAGACTCAAACCACTTGGAAATTAGTATAGAAACTCTCTTCTACACAAAAAGACAGCATGCTTCGGCTCTCACTGGGTCTAGAAAATGTATTCGATAAAAATTATTAATACACCAAAATACATCTATAAAATTACAATTATTAATGCACTATCATTCAAGGTGTTAAAATCCTTTAACAACGTAGCAAGATTTTTCAAATTAAAATAACTAAAGCATAAAAAAGGGAAATTGACACACATTACTCTCTTCTACACTTCACAGTTCACACACACAGAAAAAAATGCAGCCATAGAATGGGAATGCCGGCTGTTGCTACTATTAGAGAATGGAAGCCAGAAAAAATTGCAGCCATGAATTAATCATTTACTCGCACCGACAATTGAGCAAGAAGCCATAACATTTCAGCAAATCGCACGACACAATATTGAAACTTATATAGCTAATTTTTGTGTTCAAGTTACATACCCTTCTATAACCTTAACTCGCACGAGTCGTATTGTTCCACAGCCAGTCACTACTAACATGCAGAACCAGACACCAAGGACGAAACCTGTGGACAACATCCAGTGATCTTGACATCAATTTATGTAATAATACAAGTCTTAGGGTTTAGGAAGAGGGGAGACTTGGGGAAGTGAGAAAATAAGGAAATAAACTTACTTTACAGCACTGGACTTTGAAGTGTGGTCGGCAAATAGCAACTGGGAAATGAAGAGAGAAACGGATGGGGCTCGTTCTCAACGAGTTGGGTCGGAGTGAAGAATTTTGTGATTGTGATTTGTGAGGGACCGAGAGTGTGAGAGTTGAGACGACTTAGTTTAGAGCTTCTTTTATTTTTTTTCATTTTTTTCCCTTTTTTTTAAGTATTCGGGTCGGGTTCTACCGGTTTCCATTTTTGACCCATAACCCAACCCGCACCTACCCAACCCAGGCATTTAATATTGATTGACATTTGTATGTTGATTAACATTTGTAATGATATGAAAAATTTTGAATTCTAGTGTGGAAATAGAATTTGCTAACAGGGGTATTTTCATCTACATAATTGGAAAATGAACATTGATAAAATTGTGGATATTTTTGCAAATGACTAGGTAAAAATGGACATTATGTGAAATTTGCTCTTGTTTTATTTATCTGTCAAAGTTTACGTGAAACTATCATTCTTGAAAACTTGAGAGTACCCTCCCTGCATGCCATCTACGTGGCAACTTTGCCACTGCTAGACCAATCGTGGTTAATGGCCAGGGCCACGAGACAATCTATACAATGTTTGCTCAGAAATAGACCAGAAAAATGCTGTCATGCAACAGAAATGAATACACTTGGCAACTTTCAATTGGAAAATGGCCAAAAAAAGGGACCGAAATAGATAATGTAGCAGTTCTGCCAACAGATCCTCTGTAACTGAAATTACAGAGTGGTTTCTTTCTCACCAGCACCGCCCATAGGCGACAGATACAGATGCCAATATGTACGTAAAAATTACATTAATACTATTTTACTACTTATTTACTTGTCTTCTACACAAAATATTTTTGAGGATTTTCTATTTTTTCACCTTTTTTTGCTTCAATTAATATTTTATTTGTTATTTGGAACCCCTAGTTAGGTTTGCCGGAAAAAAGGTAGGGAGAAAATGGTATAATGTGAATGGGGAGTCCTGATTTTGCAACGTTTTCATGCTTTGTTGATGGAAATCTAATTTTTGCATGTTATAGAATGATCAATATTATGCAGATGATGTACTTAATTTACTTTTAACAAAACAGAAGAAAAAAAATGTGTTGCTCTTTTCCTTGCTTTTTTCTATTGAATTTTTTCCCCATGAAAAGATAAAGAATAAGAAAATGTAAGGTGGGGCTTGCTCTAAAGCTAGTTCAGAGTGAAATTGGCACGACCCATCTCGATTCAACATAATTGACTCGACACGTGTCATAGGTTGATGGTAGATGCCAGCTAAATGACGGACTCACCACCAAGATAAACTTGACCTACTTTGACTGTGACATATTTCTGTAAAAATTTTGACAAAGTTTCCCCTTAAACATGGACAAAACCAACCTGAAACATCAACAAAACCTCATATAGACATTCAAACCAAAAGTTTTGGAAACCACCACTTCCTCTAATACCACCACGACTAAGACAAAATACAACTAAACTCGACTGAGTACTTCTATAATAGCATCATGTCTACAAGCAAGCATTACATCAATTACAAACCCTTCTACGAAATATACGTCAAACTAAATATTAGACCAAGTACTTAATAAACATGAGTCCACAACTATACATTACATACTATGAAACGGTCTCTTTGACTTCAGCAGGCTTTTCCAAGTATCTCAAAATCAACAGTCTCCTAATAGGAAAAAAAATGACAAAATATATAAGTTTATAACTCAGTGAGTGGATAGCTTGCAAATAAGTAAAATTTTCCATTTATGCACATTTTCTAAAAATTCTAACTTTATCAAATCTTTGAGAAATTCTGAATCTAGTACACTTTAAAAACTAAACATGATCGTGTCATAAAGTTCTTTGTTCTTAATTCTAGAAAAGCAACTGTATAATATAATGACTGTAAATAATCTGATATCCATGAAAATCTATGAAATATTGCTGCTGCTCAATACTGTAAGCTGAAAGCTTTATTTTGAAAACTGAATTCTATAATCTGAAAACTGATAAGATGTAGAAATACTGAAAAATCACACCAAAAAGATACCTTATGAATATCCTTACTCATGTACAGAGTAATCTCGATGTACAAAGCAAGTCCATTCACATCTGATAATCTGGTCATACGTACGTAGAGCTGCCCCAAAGGCTAATCACCTTAGTACACGACCCAAAGTCTATATGTGTACGATAGTGGGTCCCAAAGACCTCTAATAATTTGATCATATACTATGGAACATTCACAATAGTATAGAGCGGGTAAAATCACAATAACTGATCATACACTGTGGAAACACATTCACACCAGTGCAGATTAGGGTAAAATCACTTGGGTACATTCATATAAAAATAACTTGGGTGGTTTTAAAAATAACTTTAGCTATACTGAAACATTTATATTCATATAACATGCTAATCAAATGATTCAATAAACTGAATTTAACTTTAAAAATATCTTATTATAAATTCACTTTATTCTAAAAATTATGCTGTCAAAATCAATTGTATAAAATAATAATAAATACTATTTTCTGAAAAAATAAGTTTTTATATCCACTCACAAGTATGCGCTACAAGCTAGACTACCTGATAAACGTTTTCAATCTCCTCGTCACCACCTGAAATATAACATTAATAACCAATTTTTCCACTATCAAATCAAGAAACCTTAATATCTAATGATAGAACTTAAAATTAAATTTCTTGATGCTTGAATAAATTCTCAAATTTTCCTTTATTAATTGGAGCTAATCACACTTCATAATCCCTTGACTAATAACTAATTCATCAACATAGCCTTCATTCCAAGGATTTATGTAATTACCACTTCATTCTAGTGACAACTTTCACAATGCTTCGATCAATTAAATTTTCCTCTTGTTCCATAATTTCATGCTTCCAAATAATTATTTCTTCAACATCATCATTTCCATGAACACCTTAATCCAAAAATCCCAAATAAAATTTATAGGGTTTACTAAAAGTAATATTCCTTACCTAACTGAAATTGGAAATGAAGTAATCCCCGAGCTTGAGCTCCAATTTGTTTTTATCACACCTAAATTTGAAAATTTCTACTACAAGTTAAAACCCTAGAATTTTAACATCAATCATACTTTTCTCACTTGGAAACAAATGGAAACATTAAACCCAAACTTGAAAGGATTAACCTTACCTCGCTTCCTCTTCTTCCCTTTTCTTCCTTTCTTCATTCTTTCTCTTTTTTCTTCCCTTTTTTTTTTAGTTTTTCTCTCTTTCTCGGCCTTTCTGCTCTCTGCCCATTTTCTAGTAGGTGTAGTGTGTGTTTGAGAGGAAAAAAATGGTCAAAGGTTGAAAATAAATCCCACTTACTCAAAAATTGCAAGGAAAGTCCCTTAACTCCATTTTTATTCACATTTAATCCTAAACTTCCAAAAATATATAAGTAAATTCCCAACTTTAAATTGTATCCAATTTTACCCTCATATATTGCCAATTGCAAAATAAACCCCAATAAATATTTAATTTCATTTTATTCCTTAATTGACTTTGACCATGACTAATCAACATTTGAATTTTTTACTATGAAAATTGAGTTATAACAGAAATCGTAACCACTAGTATAACCAATGGGATAATTCTGTTGAGGAAAATAAATAGAAATTATTGATATCTGGAAACTAGAGAGTTCCTAGAAGATATCAGAAAAACTAGAAGAGTGGAAAGAGAGGGAAAAATAAAGTCTTACACAGAAGAAACCATTATTGACTAACATTTTAAATCGTAGAAATATAGAATGCCAAGTGAGAGAAATTCCAATTTGACCTCTTTGATCGGAACCTTTCTTTGAGCTTGCCAGGCAGTTCGATAAGTTCACCATTAATCAAAGTTCATCATTTCTTTATTTGAATTGGTCGGAGTGACTTAATCATTTCCCTGCTCTAGCTTTGCGTTTTTCCTAATTTTCGCGGCATGTATCTATTTTCATTCTTTGGTTGTTCACAGTATCTGGGCAAGATCAGTTTTCAACCTGAATTTCTCTCGTCTACCTCTAGCGATTTGGTAAATTTTGACAAGTTATTTTTGTCATATCTCATAATTAAAGCAGAAATTAAAGAAAGGTGAGAAGCAGATAACTTGCTGAATGCTAAGGTATACGGTTTCCACTAATTAATCTAAGCGCATAATTTAGCTAAAGCTAATGCCTTCCTCTAAATTGTTTCAGGAGATGCATTACCACTTTGCTACTGATAAAGCACAAAATTAGCAAAGTATTATTGGAGAATTTCATTCATCCTTTATTGTAAATTTAGCTTATTTTTAGTTAATTTTATTCCCCACTGTATAGGCTAGATTAGTGGGATTGACTTTACTGGATTAGTGGGATTGATCTCCCTGCCTGTATATATATATATATATATACTTGTAATAATTCTTGTCAATACACACCAGAGTATTCATTAAATTTCTTTATAGTATCAGAACCCTCTCTATCGTGAATAGAGTTTGATCCTCTTGCCTACCCTAGTCGTGTTTTCTCTTTTATCACAGAAATGGAAGATTCCCAGACTCCTGTCACAAAAGCAACAGCCTTAGCAACAGTGTCTGAACCGACGATTATTTCAACACCTATAAATGCTATGGCTGAAGATAATATGTTTCCTGCCAATGGGAACCTAATATCCCTAAATACCTCTTCTCAGATTCCTTTCAAACTTGTAAAAAATGGTGAAAATTATTCATCTTGGAAGTCCCAAATGACCAATTTTCTCTTTGGCTATGGACTCCTTGGGTTTGTCGATGGAACTTATCCTAGCCCACAGAAAATTGATTCTGAATATCATCTCTGGATTCATCAGGATCGTCTTGTGCTACTTGAAATTCAGGCCACTGTTCATAGCACAATATGCCCAACGATAAACAATTTTACCACTTCTGCAGAGGCTTGGAATAAACTGGAAACGAGTTTTGCTAATCGTTCCAACACTCGAATGTTCTCTATTATGTTTTCTCTTATGACAAACAAGAAAGAAGGAAAGATAGTAGCTACATATATGAGCAGGGTGAAAAGTCTTACTGGTGATCTTGTAGCCATTGGACACCCTCTAAGTGATGCTCAAATCATGTCCTACACTTTGAATGGACTGGGTGAAGAATTTAAAGAATTGACAGCAGCGGTACGTGTTCGTGACACACCTATAACCTTTGAAGATCTCTATGATAAATTGCTTGATGAGAAATTAATTCGCAACCAATGAGAGGCAAAGGAAGATGAAGTTTAGGTCACTGCACAACTGACACAAAAATGTCATGGTGGTCGAGGACATCGGAGTGGTCAAGGAAACTATCGTGGTGGCTACAGCAACAATACTCATGGTTCAGATAGCAATGTATACGGACATAATTCTCAGCCCAATCATAGACAAATTAATCGGCAGCGATCTTCTTATGGACAAGGTATAAATTCCTCCTATCTCCAGTCATACTCACCTTCACAAAATCCAAATTTTCATCAGAGGAACCAAGGTCAACCTCGTATTATCTGTCAATTGTGTGATAAATCGAGACATAGTGCAAGGACCTGTTATTCTCGTAGACAACCTTATTTTCATTCTTCTAGGCCTCAAGCAAATCTTGCCGAAGAAGAACCAAGTTATTCCAGCAACAAGTAGGTTCTGGACTCGGGAGCCACACATCACATTACATCTGATCTCCAGAACCTCTCTATGCACTTTGATTATGTTGGAAATGAGGATGTTATAGTGGGTAATGGTAATAGCCTTTCCATCTCTAATGTTGGTTCTTCCTCAATTGATTTACCTAATGCCTCATTTACATTAGATAATGTTTTGTGTGCACCTTCAATAAAAAGGAACTTAATATCTGTTTTGCAATTCTGTAAACAAAATAATACTTCAATTGAGTTTTTTCCTAACTATTTTCTTGTGAAGGATTTGCATGCGGGGAAATCCTTGGCAAAAGGCCGGAGTAAAAACAACTTGTATGAGTGGTCATCCTCAGCCTCAACTATGAAGCCATCCTTCCTCACTCCTTCTGCCTCAATTGCTCTCTCTTCTCAACTATGGCACCAACGTCTTAGTCATCCTTCTCCTCCAATTCAAAAGAAGATTTTAGCTAGCAATAAAATTCCTTCAACGGATTCCCCTACAAATAAAGTTTGTGATTCTTGTCTTTGTAACAAAAGTCATAGACTATCATTTAGAAATTCATCCATTATCTGTAATAAACCATTTCAAGTTATTTATTTAGATGTTTGGGGTCCTGCCCCTGTGACTTCATTTGGAAATTTTTGATATTATGTCATTTTCATTGATTACTTCACAAAGTACACCTGGTTATATCCTTTGAAGTTAAAATCTGATGTGTTCAAGGTTTTTGAAAACTTTCACAAACTCATTGAAAACTACTTTCAAACAAACATAAAAACTGTAAACACAAATGGTGGTGGAGAATATAAAGCACTTTCTCACTTTTTAACCTGACATGGAATTCAACATCTTACCTCTTCTCCCTATACACCCGAACATGTTGGCTCTGCTAAACGTAAACATCGTCACATTATGGAAACTGGCCTCACGCTTCTCCACAATGCTACTATCCCTCTTCGCTTTTGGTCTCGTGCCTTCCAAAGTGCAGTTTATCCCATTAATAGAATGCTTACACAAATTCTAAACCATAATACACTTTATCAGAAATTATTTGGCCATAAACCCAAATACACTTCTCTTAGAGTCTCTGGATGTCTTTGTTACCCTTGGCTTCGCCCATATAATACCCATAAACTCGAACCTTGCTCACGGCCATGTGTGTACCTCGGGTTTTTCCTTCCTCATCATTCATTTCTATGCTTTGATCTCACTCAAATTGTCTTTTTATGTCTAGACACGATGCCTTCTTTGAGAATCTATTTCCCTACAAAACTAACTCATATTCTAACCTAAGCATATCTTCTCAAACATTTTCACGGTATCTATCAATTTTTACCGACAAGAATTTAGAAAATATCACAACTCCCGCTAAAGATGAACCTGACTCTATCGTGCTAACACCCTCTGCACCACACTTGCTTCCAAAACCTCCATCTACTCGTCCATTGCCCGCTCAACAAGTTGTCTCTACTTCGCTCCCCCCCTATGGATGCTTCTCGATACTCTCCATCATAGGTAAGTAGTTCCACTTCTCCCTCTAACAAATGTGCAGATCCTAAACTTGTAGACTCATCTTACACATGCCATGTCATCAACCAAACTGCCCAGCGAACTAAAACTATTCACTCCCCTCATATCAACCAGATATACCATCTCGCATGGTCACTCATGCTCAGAATAATATCTACAAACCAAAACAACCGTTCAACCTACATACCACAACCTCTTCCCTCCACTACCAAACAGAACCTTCATCATTTGCCCAAGCCAAAAAGCACTCTCATTAGTGTGATGCCATGAAAGAAGAATTTCTAGCTCTTCAGAACAACAAAACTTGGTCCCTTGTTCCACCCTCCTCTACACAAAACATTGTCTGGTGTAAATGGGTATATCGCATTAAGAGGAACCCGGATGGCTCTATTGCTTGCTATAAGGCCCGCCTTGTGGCGAAAGGGTTTCATCAACGATCTGAAATTGACTTTATAGAAACTTTTAGCCTAGTGGTTAAACCAGCAACCATTCACCTTGTTCTAACTATTGCTGTCACTCGTGGTTAGGTTTTGAATCAGTTGGATGTCAATAATGCCTTCCTACAAGGCACTATATCTGAATGTATGTAGCAACCTTAAGGATTTGTTGACCCTCAATATCCTTCCCATGTCTGCAAATTACATAAAGCAATTTATGGTCTTCGTCAAGCTCCTCGGGAATGGTACAATGAACATCGTTCCTTTCTTCTTGCCTATGGATTTATTAATTCGAAGAGTGATACCTCTCTCTTTATCTACTCTTCGGACACTCACATCGTGTACTTGCTTGTGTATGTGGATGACATTATACTTACCAGCAATCACCCTCCTACTCTTCAAGAATTCACCAGTCAGCTCTCCAACAGGTTTTCTCTCAAAGATCTTGGCAAGCTTAACTACTTCTTGGGCGTTGAAACAACTTGGACCCCCAATGGTTTGTTCCTATCACAGCAAAAGTATATTCTGGAGCTTCTTCAGTGAATAAATATACAAAAGGCCAAGGAAGTCGGCACCCCACTGTCCATTTCAGAAACACTAAAGCTTGATGATGGTTTCCCTGGTCATGATCCAACTGAGTATCGTCAAGTTGCAGGCTCACTTCAGTATCTTTCTCTTACATGACCGAATGTTAGCCATGTCGTCAACAAGTTGGCTCAATTTATGCACAAACCAACTTCTAATCATTGGCTTACTGTAAAATGTGCTCTTTGATACCTCAAGGGTACCTCTCATTATGGTGTCTTCATCTCAACTCATTCACCTCTTGCACTTCATGCCTTTGCCGATGCCGACTGGGCTGGTGATGCTGATCCACGTCACTTTACATCTACCTATGTTGTATTTCTTGGCTCCAATCCTATCGGTTGGAGTTCTAAGAAACAAGCCACCATAGCCAGCTCCTCAACTAAGGCCGAATATTGTGCCATTGCTGCTGTTACTGTTGAGGTGAATATTGGCTCACTAACTTGCTAAGTGAACTTGCTGTATCAATTCCAGCTCCTCCAACAATCTACTGTGACAATGTTGGAGCCACCTACTTATGCTCCAATCTTGTTTTCCACTCACGTATAAAACACATCGCCATTGACTTTCACTTTGTGCGTGATCAAGTTTCTCGCAAGTTGCTTCGCATTTCACATGGTCATACTACGGACCAGCTTGCTGACTTTCTCACTAAACCTCTAGCTCGAAAGCAGTTCCTAATTCATCAGTCCAAGCTTAGTGTCCTTCCCGGACCCTTACGCTTGCATGATAAAGCACAAAATTAGCAAAGTATTATTGGAGAATTTCATTCATCCTTTATTGTAAATTTAGTTGATTTTATTCTCTTTATTTAGCTGATTTTATTCCCCACCGTATAGGCTAGATTAGTGGGATTGACTTCGCTGGATTAGTGGGATTGATCTCCCTGCCTGTATATATATACTTGTCATAATTTCTATCAATACACACCAGTGGGTGGGCGGGACGAGAGTACAGTGGGTGTTAGATTTTTTTAAATTCTTTTTTTTTTTGTGTTAATACTTGTTTAATTATTTTAAGTGAATTTATTTGTACTTTTTGAAAATTTATGGGTCTTCATTTAATATATATATATATATAGCAGACCATCATTTAATCACTAAAATGGCGGGAAATACGAGTCTTGTTACATAATATAAAGGTTGGAGATGAATCATGAAAAAGGCTAATGATAAATTTATTATATAAGACAAAAATTGCAAATTTTCCTTTTAATTATCGTCGTAATAACAAAAGTTACTTGTTTTAATTAAATCACCCTTCACATGTTCATTTGTAATTTAATGATTTCTTGAGGTGCTTGACCTAATTATTTACATGGCTATATCAACAAAATAAAAAATATCGTTTCACCTATAATTTCAACTTCCTATGTATAGGTCATGTCGATTAATCGTTTATAAAACTTGAGTCACTTTTTATTCATACATTTTGTCAGGTCTACAAGTATTATTTACCTATTCATCAGCAATATTTATCTATTTATAGTTAAAATCTTTTATAAACAATTCTCAAACATGCTTTAGTCAGACACGAGACCATCCAAAACAGAACAAGTTTTACAAGAGGCTAGCATGCTAAATGATAAGGCGGATATCTAGTCTCAACTTCTATTTAACTAGGTTATATTGTTATCTTAATAAATTAGGATGCATAGATTTTATATTTATAAGGGACATGGAATTTAGATATAATTTTGATTAAAATCTAATTAGGGCATAATCATTGACAAATACCTATTGAGAATAAATTAAGTGAACCAAGACTTAGGAGGTACAAGTAAAAAAGACTAAGAATATCCCAAAATTAAAAGGACATTATCATTTGTATACTGAATTTTTACACTTTGATTGACATTTGCATTATTGTCAAGTGTCAATTGGAAAAAAAAAATTTGAAAAGTTAAATTATCCAATTGAGTAATGCTACGTAGAAAATGTAAACCACATGTACAACAAAGAGTAAACATGGCAAAGTTCAAATTAAAATTGCATGCAATGAGTGTTTCGTATCTAGTTGTTTTGAATCTCCATTTAAATTAAACAACCATTGCAACGGATGAAAATAAAGTATATATGGAGCAACAAAAAAGTTATTATTAACTAAGGCAATTTTAAAATAAATAAATAAAATTCATTGTATTTCATGCATTATTTGAAAATTATTCAATGAGTCTTTTTGACATCATTTCTTGAGCTATCATTTCTAGCATATCTTTCCTCAAATATTCATATCTCTTTGATGTAAATTTTGAGCAAATAAAGTTGATAAAAGTTGACAAATTTTATGAAATGTGTGTGTAAAAATTGTTGATGAAATAAAATATATGATTAAAAATGAAGTTTGACCAACTTTTTTGCAAAAAGTATCTTTGTCAAAAAGGACTCAAATATTTTATTTACCTCTATAACAATTGAAGTTAATGCTTGATCCTATCAAGTTATTTCTTCACTTTAGGCTCAAGCTATTTTTGGAATCAAAGCTACTTATTTTCATGAAAAACAATTTAAAAATGAGCTAATCCTATCAATGGTCATTAAAGTTTTGAGTAATTACGTTAATGATTATTGGAGTTATTTTTTACGGTAATAATTGATGAACTTTCTACTAATGCTTACACTATTGTTCATGTAATTTAAAATACTAAGAGTACGTTTGATTTGTCATTTTAAGGTCATTTTCAGTTTTCAAAAAAATTCAAAAAGCATTTGATATGTTATTTTCAAAAATGTAATTTTTAAAACCAGGAAAATTTTATAACAAAAAACTCAAAACGACTTTTTGACGTTTTGAGTGTTTTCATGTTTTCAATGAAAACTCAAAACGATAAAATGAGTTTAAAAAATTTTCAAATTAAAACAATTAATAAAATCACACAAAATTTACCCAAATACAAATACTCTCTCCCTCTCTCTATCTCTTTCTTCCCATGTTCTTTCAAAATGTCCTAAAATTATGTCTAAAGTTCTTAAACCAAACGAATTTTCTAATTTTTTTTTTGTTTTCAGAATGATAAACAAAAGACTTTTTTTGTAACCATAAAATAATCTCTCAAAATAGAAAATAGAAAATGAATTCAAAACAAAAAACAAAAAACAAAAAAGCACCCTAACCTCTTGTTTTGCCTTAATTTCTTAAAATTCATTTGTATTTTCAAAATTCATTTTTAACAACATATCTTGTAGAAATCATAATTTTTATTAACTTTTAATTCACAAATGTCATCAACATTTATCAAAATTTATTAAAAATTTAATTATTATCCAAACTAAATAGGGACTAACATTGAATCCTACATGACGCCATTAGGTGTCACTTATAACAAAATGATGCTATTTATTATGCGAAGTCGATAAATTTTTAAAATTTTGGAGATCAAATAAATACGTTATGAAGTTTTAGCCCCAAGTTTGGTCTAGCTAAAGATTATATTTTAAGTATATTTTGAAAAAAAAATAATAAAAAATTGATCATATGCAATATTGTGGATCCCTAAATTCAGTAACTAAAATTAATTAGCGATTTTGATTTAGATCATTATCAAGTTTTCTTTTGCTAATGTTAGTCCTTCAACTAATCTTTGAAAACATGGGAGTACCCCAGAATGCCATCTACGTGGCAACTCTGTTATAGCCAGAGACTGTACACTGTTTGCGCAGTACCTGAAAATTACAGAGCGGTTTCCTCTCCACCAGCACCGCCTATAGGCGACAGATACGGAGGCCAATATGTACGTACAAATTGCATTAATACTCCTGTATTGCTCATTCACTTGTCTTCTACAGCAGAATATATCTCAAGAGGATTTGAAGCTTCTTGCAAATTCTCCAAGTATAAGGTATTTTTTCTTCTTTTCTGCTTTGATTTGAACCCTTGGTTAGGTTTGCGGGGAGAAGGGCAGAGGGAAAATGGTATAATGTGAATTGGGAGACCTGATTTTGCAATGTTTTCGTGCTTTATTGATGGAAATCTAATTTTTGCATGTTATATAATGATCAATATTATGCAGATGATGTACATTTTTTAACAAAACAGAAGAAAAATATGTTGTCCTTTCCTTGCTTTTACCTATTGAAATTTGTAGCCATGAAAAAAAAAATACAGAAGAAGAAAATGTAAGGTGAGGCTTGATCTGAAGCTAGTTCAGAGTGAAATCATCAACACTAGTAAGTAGAAATATAAGCAATGAGATAATTCTGTTGAGTAAAATAAATAGAAATTATTGGATGTCTGAAAACCAGAGAATTCCTAGAAGATATGATGAAAACTGGAAGAGTGGAGAGAGGGGGAAAAATCTCAGGGAAAATGAAAAGTCTTACAAAGAAGAAACCCATTAACATTTTAAATCATAGAAATATAGAATGCCAAGTGAGAAAGAAATTCCAATTGGAGCTCTTTGATTGAAAAGAGCATATCCTATATTTTATTTTTCCATTCTAGTATATATTTGTACAATGAACCTTTCTTTGTACTCGTGAGGTAGTTTGATAAGTTCACTATTAATCAAAGTTTCTCATTTCCTTATTTGAATTGGTTGAAGTGACTTTATCAGTTCCCTGCTCTAGCTTTGTGTTTTTATAAATTTGTGCAGCCTGTAGCTATTTTCAGTCTTCGGTCTGCGGTGTAGGTGTTCAGAGTATCTGGGAAAGATCAATTTTTCAACCTAAAACTCTCTCATCTACCTCCAGCAATCTGGTAAATGTTGGCAAGTTATTTTTGTCATATTTCATAATCGAAGCAGAGGTGAGTGAGAAGCAGATAAAATTCTAGTGAGGGGAACTTGCTGAGAGTTAAGTTATACAGTTTCCATTAATTAATCTGACCCTTCCTCTAAATTGTTCCAGGAGATGCATTACGTCAGTGTTCATTCACTCCTTGATCCTAAGTATGAGGACGTCTCTGAAGATATTTCGCATAGTGATACTAACCTTGACGGACATGTGCTAAAGGAAAACTTGTCACATTTTGTTGCATATGAGTGCAAGTCTAACATGCCTAGTTTTGTGGAGTATTGGGTACCTGTTAGGCTCTCTAATGTTCAAACAGAGCAGTATTGTGCTTCCCTATTTTCAAATTCGATGTTACTTTGCTCGGGTTTAAAGTGTGATTCAGTGCATGCCCTCCAGGAAATACTTATTTCAACCATGAAGGTTTTGCTTTATTAGAAAATTCAATTAATAGTTAGCCGCAGCATTTAAACTGCTGGGCTGTTGCTTCTGCTTTGCCTTTCAATACCTGTTGTCTTGATATTTTTATTTTTTATTTTATCATTTTTTTCACTTGCTATGAATTACTGGGTTTCATATTTCCATTTCAGTGTTGTGATCATCCTTATCTTGTGGATCGTTCTTTACGAAACTCAGTGGTAGAAGGCATTCCTGTGGCTGAACAATTGAATGCTGAAATTGAATTGAGTGGAAAATTAAATCTCCTTCACATGATCCTTCCAGAGATCAAGAAACGAGAATTAAGAGTTCTTATCCTTTTTCAGGTTGCAAGTTTAATTCCATGAAATACTGCTTTTTGTCTTGCATTGCATTTTGGTTGACTTCTACTTTAACATCTTTTGAGAGATTTCTTTATTGGAAAGATGCAATTTTCTCAGTCATTGTAGCTGATCAAAGTCTAACGAAGATATCCATGATGTTGGTGTCTATCATCAGATGTCTAATTTTTGTCACTTACACCAAGACATTAAATACGACTATCAGGAGTTTATTTGTGCCTATGTTGCAACTTGGTTTTCTTATCACGTGTGGTTTATTTAAATGTTCATGTTAACAAAATGCTATTTTTTATGGGCAGTCACTTGTAGGCCCTGGACTGATTTCTATTGGAGATATTTTGGATGACATTATTCATGAGAAATTTGGTGAAGATTCTTATGTACGCATTGGAGGGGGGATGCCTCCAGCCAGAAAGCGAGCTGCTTTGAGCATGTTCAATGATAAAGGGAACAGGAAATTTGTTTGTTTGATGGAAACTCGTTCCTGTATCACAAGTATTAAACTATCATCTATAGATACAGTAATTCTATTAAACAGTGATTGGGACCCAATGAATGACTTGAGGGCCCTGCATAAGATCAACCTTACTTCGGATCATGAGCAGCTGAAGATCTTCCGTATATATTCATCGTTTACCTTGGAAGAGAAGATACTAATATTAGCCAAGCAAGGCATGAATCCTCAAGGCAATTTGAAAAATATAAAGCAAAGCACTTGTCATGGGCTGCTTGCTTGGGGTGCCTCCTATCTATTCCAAAAGCTTCATGAGTTCCATGACTTAGATTCACATTCAAGTATTTCTTCCGGCGAGACGTTTATAGAAGACGTGTGTCATGAACTCATAACCGTACTGCCTAACAGTGGTCAGAGCAATGACTCTACAAACTGTTCATTCATTTTAAAAGTCCTAGAGAATGGAGGGATTTACCCCAGAAACATGTCTTTAATTGGTGAAGTGGAATCATCTTTAATGGGGGATTTCTCCATAATCAAAGATATGATTTACAATGAACCCCATGTTTTCTGGATAAATTTACTTAATGGGAGAAATCCTAGGTGGAAATATTTGTCCAGTCCATCTTCAAGGGCTATAGAGAGAGGCAAATGCCTCAATGATTTACCTGAAGATCCAGAAGGGAAAGAAAAGAACAACAAGTGCAGGAAAGATGCCAGAAGCACCGCTAATCGAAGATGTCCTGCAGGCCTTAAACATAGGGTGAAAAAGAAACTCCGTGCTCAATATAAAAAGAGGAAAATTTCAGGTATTCCTGCATTCTATACTTGCTAATTGACCTGCATTCTTATACCCCCTTGTTTGTACAAGTGTTCCCCTTGAAGTATTATTACTTACAGGACTTTTAGAAAATGGTGGATTCTCGATTTTCTCTAAAAAATGACGATTTTGGTGGTTGGGACATGTCTTGTGTAGTCATAAGGAAGCTCATGCTCACAAGAGTAGGTGAAGTGATTTCAACCAAATGGTTAGAAGAGGTTAGCTGGACCAAAATCAAAATGTCATGTGGTGGTTGTGGATGTGGATTTTCCATTAGAGCAGACCCAAAATGTATTGAGCATAAAGCTTAGTTTGACATTGTACTTGTATCGCCTTGTCAACTGATACTAATAATTTTATGAATATCAATCATGTAAAATAGTAGTTATCTTATTCTGTTCAAATGTCAAATTTTTGTTTTTATGATAAATTATATAAGGATCTTCTGTTGTGATTATTTCTATCTAAGAGAATTGAATGTTCAATTATTCTCAGTTTTACAACACCCCTGCAATTCTTCTGTGCAATATTCCGTGACAGACAAGCCTCCACAACTTTCATCAAACATGCCATTAGAAAAGACAGGAGCTGGCAGTGAACCAATTGTTACTAATCTTGGATCCACAAATGCTTCTCTAAGTTCTGGGAACAATGACCCACCAGAAGCCGATCGACTGACATATTCAGAGGCACAACAATCTGTCTGCTTATCTCTCCAGCGGGAGTTGGAAAGACTGCAGAAGTATAAAGACGAAAATATAAAATTGCATGATGATATGGTTTGTCAATCTCGTTTTTTGTGTTTCATTTCTGTATTTTTCATTGTTAATGCCATACCAGGGAAGTTCTCATGTCTTCTGTGATGTAATCTTGTAGAAAGTACGACTAAAATTATCTCTAGAGGAAGAGATCGATCAGATGAGTAGAAAGTATGATTTGTTGCTTCAGATTGCTGAGACGGAATTTGAGGAGAAGAAATTAACACTTGAGACAAGCTACAACAACGTTTACATAAATAAAGTATTAGCTGAGACACTGATGCAGAACCAAGATGTAACAGATGCAACTTGCTCACAAGAAATGCCCAGTGGTAAGCATTGATGTATGATATTTGCAATTTTGCAGTATTTAGCGTTGACAGATCATCACTGAAGTTTAAGCCGTTAAACTTGCTAATTTCAAATTTACTTTATCCAATGACACCTCTCCCCCTTTTTCATAAGGTAACATTGACACACTCTATTTTGCTGTGATCACAAATTCTTTGATGGATGAAGTGTATCAACTCCTTTTGCAGCAGATTGGACCAAGGACCGCAACTGGATCAGAACATAGACCTGGCAATCTGCCAATAACAAGCTCACCTGGCTTCTCAATAGTTCAGGCATCGAACCAGCCATCAACTTCTGCAAGCATTGTCTCCAGACCTGATGAACCGTCGCTGAGCCCTTGCATGACCATTCCACAACCTGTGATTATAACAGAGGCTGTGAACTGTATGTCATCTGTCCAGCAAATTCCTGGAGCAATGTCTGGCTCTGCACCTGTGACTCGAGCATTACAGGGGTCGACTAAAACATTAACAGATCATTCAACTAACGCAAATACTATCTCAATGAATGGTCCACTCATGATCTCAACCTTGTCAATAAAGCTTCCTAGGACTTCACCCGGTCTTTTGACACCGGGCAACACATTTTCAAACCTAAATTTCCCTCTCTCAGGACACCCTGTGACTGGATATGAATTCAGGGCCCCTGCTCCACATCTTAGAAGTATGAGGCCTATTTCAATCTCAGGACCCAACATCTTGTCTTCTCCCAGCACAGAGGTAAATTTTCCATCACCCATAAGTCAATCTGGACAAATGCAGCATGTTATCACATCAGTTCCTGCAATTCCTCATGGCGAGCAATTCCTGTTTAGAGATGTTTCATATGCCAGCTCTTCCTATTCCTGGGATTTATACAGAAAGTGATTCTGAATATCAACGAAGGAGAACGCAGTTTTTGTGATTCTTTTGCCCAGATTTCAAACAGTCAAATAGCCAGTAGTGATATCTGAAGGATAACCATACATAGGCTGGTAACAGCAATTTTGTTCTTAACGTGGAACTGTAAAATTGGCCAATACTGGTGGGAAAACTAACGTTAGGAAGGTGAGAAATTGCAATATCTCAAACTAAGCGGATATTGCTTCGTATAATGTACAATTTTGCCTTCTTGCATATGCATTTCCCTCCGTGTTAATAGGCTGAACCGTTTTGCTGCTATGTTATGCTATCCATTTTCATCATAAAATGATTATTCGATCTTTTTTTCTGTTTCAGTATCATATCATTCAATCCAAATTTATCGCGATACTCTGATCTCTTCTGCACAGAAAAATTCAACTTAAGAATTGCTGAAAGAAACCTATCAATCATTGTCATTAGTTCAAAGATTCTGAACGCCAACGAAAGCTTATAGACATGCTTGGCAAGATTTACTTTCGAAATGCCTTTCGTTTTAAAACGTTTGAATAACCTACTTTCAAGTGAAAAAAAAAGGTCCCTTATTTACGAAAAAGAAAACTTTTAGCCAAACATGCTTTGGCGCATGGTATATATAATATTAGTGACTGCTGCAAATGTACAAAAAAGAATAATAATCATAATTGATAGATTCCGTTACATTAAGTTGGTTAAAAATGATTAGAATCTGGAAACCCAAAAAAAAAGAAACGTTAGGGCAAATGAGGAATTCTTTCAACAAATTAATTACTTTCCATTAATTTAAGAAAGATTTAGCAAAGACCCAAGAATATCATAAACGGGGACCTGACTTATTTCTCTTTTATAAGAAGCAACATTAGTAGGCGATCCTCTTAAGAAGCCATAAGCTAACGGGAATAGTCTTTGAAACAAAATAAGCTGGAAACAACTTCCTGTTGAAGCTGTTGAAAAAACCAATATACACGACAAAAACTGCTCAGATATGATCGCAAATTGCCTTGGTGAACTCGGTTGTCTTTGATTTACCACCAAGATCGCCTGTTCTATACTTCCCTTCTGCAATCGTTTTCAAGACAGCATCCTGGATTCTATCTGCTTTATCATGAAGCTCCAGATGGCGCAACATTGTGACAGCACTCAAAAGCAAAGCAGTTGGATTTGCCAAATTCTACATGGACTCGACAAACATTAAATGACTGATAAATACACAATTTTAATAAGTAATGACGTTGAAATTAAGAGTAGAAATGAAGCCAAAAGTTTAGGGAAAGGGCAATGAAAGCATCAAACAGTGTCGAACTTAAAAAAAAAAAAAAAAAAACTCAGCCCGGTAGCTAAGAGAAATGTTGTCTATAACTCACCAAGAAGTAAGCATATTAATACACAACCTCATCTTGGTAGTAACTCATTATTGCAACAAAGTTAAAGGTTTATTGAATAAGCTATAACAGGCACACATGACACATTCTATATTCAACCATACGTCTTGTCCTCCTCATTTAACCAAATAAACTAACAGACAAGCATGAAATTACATATTTAACTCCACACATTACCTTCCTTAAAATCAAGCAAACTGAACTACCTCGAACCTTGCTTAATACTAAAGAAGTTCAGAAACACTACAGCGAGAGGTAGAGAATTCCGAAAAGAGGAAACATTGTCAATAGAAGAAAAAGATCATAGGGCTAAACAGAACCCTAGCCCAAGATGAGTTCTCATATTATACTTCTTTTACCTCGTACCACATTTTCAATTGCATAATCGAGATAGAAGCTCATCTGAACCAAATTGATTTATCAAGAACATAAAACAAGCCATAGTTGTAACTTGTGCAACTGCATTGGTGGTTTAGGACTTTTAACCTTGGGCAGGCTGTTTTAATAATATATTTAAAACAGCCTTCCGAAAGGTTATGTCCTAAACCACCAATGCAGTTGCAAAAGTTACAACTGCAGACACATGACTTATTCAAGAGGCGATAAAATCCCATGGAGAACACCATACATGAATGAAAAATTAGAACTGTCAGGAGTAAAGAATTAGAGTTTCTTTAATGCAAACCTTTCCAGCAATATCAGGGGCAGAACCATGTACAGCCTCAGCAAGAGCAATACCTCCCTCACCAATATTGCAGCTGCATAGAGGAAAAGTCGATTAAGAATATTTGATGTAAGTAATAGACCCCCAATCCGGTTCACCTATTCTAGAAGGAAGAAGGAGCTTGCCAAGTCAGCAAAAGTTAGTTAGATAGGGGTAAAAGTGTCATAGCATTGTAGTAGGAAGTGTAAATAAATATGAGGGTTGGGAAAGGGTAAAGGCATGCACGTTTTCATATTGATTTTCGGTTAAAGGGGGAGAGACAGGGCCTCTCTAATAGCCCTGGATTTGTTATCTTTCAGTTGTTCGTCAATAAACCATTGAATTCGTTCCTTGTTGCTGTGTATTTAATACTTCTTTAGGTCCAGGAGTTCAATCATTTTTGGTACCAGAGCAACTTCACTGGGACCATGACAATCACCGAACGAGTGGGACAATTGGAGTCGAGGTTCGATGGGTGGCAGGAAACGATGAGGTTAATGAAATCCGAGATGTAGAGGGACATGGCTGGACTGATGGAGAAGTTTGAATTGGTGTTAACCAATTGGGGCGAACAAGAAAGGGACAGGACGGAAAAGGAGACTTCATCCAATTCATCGGAGCCGACCGTTAGTTTTGAGGTGCCGAACAAAACCCAGGAGCCAGGGTGGTACCGAGGGACAGCTACCTCGTGATGAAGTAGGGAGGTTGGATACTCGAGGCCGCCAGTTGGACATGCCAATTTTCACGAGAGAAGCGCCAGACGCATGGGTCTTTCAAGCATAATGGTATTTCCACATTAATCAGCTTACAAACTAGAAGAAGATTGAGACCGCCACAGTTTGTTTCGATGGCGAGGCACTTGCCTGGTATCAATGGGAGAATGGACGGCAACCGTTAACACGCTGGGAAGATTTGAAGATCTTGCTGTTGGAAAGGTTCAGTTCGTTGCAAGAGGGAAGTGCGTTGGAAAAAATTTTGGCCTTGAAACAGGAAGGAAAGCTGAGGGATTACCGCCGGTGGTTTGAATTGCTGGCTGCTCCGTTGTCGGGGATTCCAGAAGCAATCTTGGAAGGTAACTTCATAAATGGGCTACACCTAACCATCAGAGCAGCAGTAAGGATGATTAGGCCACGAAACGACCGCAATGAGTCCCTAAAACGAGCCCAAGTTTTAGGAGGCCCAATTCAGTCTAAAACCACTCTCATGACCAGCCCAACTGGAAATGGCCCAGATTACAGCGGTTTATACTCAAAAGGGGCAACGCACAGTCCACAATTCGACCAACAGACTCCAACGATTGCTCCTAGGGCTCCTGCGGTCCAGATGCAGCAACCGGTGACGACGGTCAAGGCAGCACCACCCTTCAAGCAGTTGACCGACGTTGAGTTGCAGCCAAAGAAGCACAAAGGGCTGTGCTATCGTTGTGATGAGAGGTTTTATCCAGGTCACAAGTGTAAGAATAAGGAGCTACAAGTGCTCCTAGTGCAAGAGGAAGAAATTGATGAACCAGTGGAAGCGGTTAAGGGAGGAGATGAGCAGCTACTAGAGGATACAGTGGAATTGTCCATTAAATCAGTGGTCGGGTTGACTGCACCGAAAACCATTAAGCTACATGGGATGGTTGGCGGGATATCAGTGGTAGTCCTCATCGATTGTGGGGCTACCCACAACTTTATTTCAAGAGAACTCGTTGAGGGTTTGTGTCTGAAAATCACAAACTCTGCTAGCTACAGGGTTCTTAACGGTACTGGGTAGTCAGTGAAATGAGGGGGTATTTGTAAGGGCGAGGTTGTCTCTTTGTCGACTATTGATGTGGTTGAAGATTTCTTGCCCCTGAAGTTAGGATGTACAAACGTAATCCTGGGGATGAAGTGCCTTGGGAAGGATGCATGTGAACTGGGGGACATTGACTATGCATTTCAGAGTTAGCAGCGAGATGATTGTGTTACAGTGCGACCCTAGTTTGGATAAGACACAGGTGTCCTTGAAGTCACTCGTTAAGTCATTTATAGAGGAGGGACAGGGCATCTTACTAGAATTAGGCAGTATAGAAGTTGAACTAAAGAAGGCCTTGGCAGAAGTCCACAACTCAATTGGTGAATTGTTATAGAATTACTTGAGTGTTTTCGAATGGCCCAACGAGCTCCCACCCTCAAGGGGTCGAGACCATGCAATCAATCTACAACTAGGGGCAACTCCTGTGAACGCAAGGCCATACCGATACCTGTATGCTCAGAAGAATGGCATCAAGAGGCTCGTTAAAGACATGCTGGCTGCAGGAATCATCTAATTGAGTCTTAGTCCGTTTTCAAGCCCGGTGCTGTTGGTAAAGAAAAAGGATGGTAGCTGGAGATTTTGTGTTGATTATCGGGCACTTAGCAAGGTAACGGTACCTAATCATTTTTCGATACCAGTGACAGATGAACTGCTGGATGAACTTCAAGGGTCTCGGGTGTTCTCAAATCTGGATTTGAAGTCGAGTTACCATTAAATTCGAGTTAGACCGGAAGATGTCCCAAAAACTGCTTTTTGCACCCACGAGGGTCACTTTGAATTTTTGGTCATGCCGTTTGGGCTATCAAACGCACCGGCAACCTTTCAACACTTTGATGAATGAGGTATTCAGACCCTACTTGAGAAAGTTTGTCCTTGTCTTTTTTTATGACATTTTGGTCTACAGTCAGTAACTTAGGGAGAACCTTCAACATTTGCGTGTTATGCTTGAAGTTATCCGTGAGCAACGGTTGTATGCTAACAAAAAAAAGCATTTGTTCGGGCAAACACTAGTGGAGCTGGGCCATGTGATTTCTGAGAAGGGGGTTGTGGCTAGGGATGTAAACGAGTCGGGCCGAGCCGGCTCGCGAGCCTAAAGTTTCGGCTCCAGCTCGGCCATTTTTTTGCGGGCTCGAGCCAGGCCGAGAAAAATAGGCTCCGCTCGGGCTTTTTCCGGGCTAAGTCAGGCAGGCTCGTTTTCTCCACCCCTTTTTTTCTTCTTCCTAAACTACTGCCTTTTAAGGCAGCAAAAAAATTTTATTATTATTATTTTTTTTTTTTTTAAAGCTCGCGAGCTCGGGCCGACTTGAGCAAAGCCCGTGTCCCCAAAATGGGGCTCGGGCGCCGAGTCACGGGCGGCCCGAGCCCGATTGCCATCCCTAGTTGGGGCAGATCAGACAAAAATTAAGGCCATGATTAATTGGCCTAGCCCACACAATCTCAAGGAGCTTCAGGGATTTCTGGGGCTCATGAGGTACTACAGACGCTTCGTGTCAAGCTATATCAAGACTGCCTGGCCCTTAACTGAGTTGCTCAAAAAGGATAGTTTCCAATGGAATGAGAACGTCGAGACAGCATTTTAGGACCTCAAGGCTACCATGATCAGGTACTTCCCAACTTCTCAAAGCAGTTCGTCGTTGAAACCGATGCTTCCAGTAAGGGCCTAGGGGCAGTGCTAATGCAGGACAACCATCCTATAGCTTTCTTCAGAGAATTTCTACTGTAGAGTACCAAGCAAAAATCTGTCCAAGAAAGAGAGTTAAAGGCCATAGTGTTTGCCATCAAAAAGTGGTGTCACTACCTGTTGGGCAGACATTTTGTGGTTTGGACTAATCAGTGGAGCTTGAAATTTTATTGGAGCAACGGTTGGTAAGGATAACTGGAAATGGCTCACTAAATTGATGGGTTATCACTTCGACATTCAGTATTGCCTAGGATTGGAAAACAAAGCGACAGACACACTTTCCAGAATTCAACCTACCCTGCACTACTTAGCCTTAACCACCCCTAAGGTTCTTCAACTTGAGGAGATCAAGAAGGAGGTGGCTACAGACGAGAAATTGGGAAGACTAGTGCAAGACCTACAAGAGGAGTTCCAGTGTAGGCTGAATATGAATAGATAAACAACTTATTGTGTTACCATGGGAATTTAGTGTTGCCCAACAATTCGCCTTTTGTGACACTCAAGTTACATGAGTGCCATGACACTAAAGTCGGGGAATACTTGGGGTTTCTCAAGACATACAAGCGTGTCGTCAGAGAAGTTTTTTGGCAGGGGATGAAAAAGAGGGTGAAGGAGTACGTGGCGGAATGTGAAGTCTATCAGAAAAATAAGTACCTCACACTGTCCCTAGCTGGTCTCTTGCAGCCCTTGCTGGTACCTGAGTTAGTTTGGCAGGATATTTCAATGGATTTCATTGAGGGGCTACCACATTCAGGTGGATTAGATACCATTCTGGTTGTCGTGGATCGTCTACATAAATACGGGCATTTTGTTGGGTTGAAGCACCCTTTTACTGCCCCCTCAATTGCAGAGGTGTTTATACGAGAGGTGATACGATTACACGACATGCCTCATTCTATTGTTTCCGATAGAGATCGGATTTTCATAAGTACCTTTTGGACCGCACTGTTCAAGGCTCAAGGGACCATCCTCAAGCACAGTACCATCTACCATCCCCAAACCGATAGTCAAACGGAGGTCATCAACAGGTGTTTGGAGCATCTAGTCAACCGCAGGTTTGGAGCCAATACTCACATTGGGCTGAGTTTTGGTACAATACCTCCTTCCATACCGTGACTAGACACCCCTTTTTAGATTGTGTATGGCCGTGAGCCGCCCAGAATTCTAGCCTTTGAGAAGGGTATGACAGTTAGCTCATTTGTGGAACAACTGTTTCTTGATCAGGATGAAGCCTTGAAGGAGCTTAAAGTACAACTTTCTAGAGCTCAATTGAAGATGAAGGAATCAACAGATGAACATCGTCGTGACATTCAGTTTGTAGTAGGGGACTTAGTCTATCTCAAGCTCCGTCCTTACCGCCTAAAGTCGATGGCTAAGCGTCCTTTCGAGAAGTTGTCTCCGAGGTACTATGGACAGTTTGAAGTGGAATCAAAGGTCGGCCAGCTTGCATACAAACTGAAACTTCCACCAACTGCAGCCATCCACCCAATTTTTCATGTCTCTCAACTTTGTAAGGCCAAGGGCAACCTGCAACTAGTCTCCTCTCTTCCACCCCAACCTTTAGCAGATGGAGAGTTCATTCTGGAACCAGAATCTGTTCTTGGAGTTCACCCCAATTCTACCAACAAAGCTGAGGGGCCTGACATCTTAATCAAGTGGAGGAGTTTACCAGAGTATGAGGTAACCTGGGAGCCATTCGAGACTATTAGACTACAATTTCCTAACTTCCACCTTGAGAAAAAGATGGACATCGGAGCGACGGGTAATGATAGACCCCTAATCTGGTTCACCTATTCGAGAAGGAAGAAGAAGCTTGCCAAGTCAAAAGAAGTTAGTTAGATAGGGGTAAAAGTGTCATAGCATTGTAGTAGGAAGTGTAACTAAATATGAGGGCTAGGAAGGGTAAAGGCATGCACGTTTTCATATTGATTTTCGGTTAAAGGGGGAGAGACATTGCCTCTCAATAGCCGTGGATTTGTTATCTTTCAGTTGTTCTTCAATAAACCATTGAGTTCATTCCTTACTGCTGTGTATTTTATACTTCTTTGGGTCCAGGAGTTCCTTCAGTAAGTGACCATTAAAAGACCAATAGGTTGGACGTACCTCGGTGTTAAGCCCAGGCCTCCAATCAAACCAGCACAAAGGTCACTGATAATGTCACCGTAAAGATTAGGCATTACCAAAACGTCAAAAAGTGCTGGATTCTTCACAAGCTGTACAATGAAAGAGAAATGGTTAACTAAAACATAGTTTCACATTTTTCTTC